TAATGTAATGTAATGTATGTATGTTTGCATGCATAATGTAATGTAACGTGTAGTGTAATGTAATGTAGTGTTACCTCAGGTTACCCCATGTAATGTAATGTTTTGTTCTATTTTGTTTGTCTGTCTGTCTGCCCGTCCGTCCGTCCGCGCGAAACGAAGGTGGCTGTCGCCAAGTGCCCCGCCTGCCCCGCAAAGTGCCGCGGCGTCACCGGCGCCCAAGTGCGCCCAAGCGTGCCACCAGAGCCAGCCCAGTGCTACAAGTGCCACGCTTGCCACGCAAAACGACGCTGGATGTCACCAAGTGCCACGCGTGCCACGCAAAACGAAGGCATATGTTGCCAAGTGCCACGCCTGCCGCCGACGACCAAGCGCGCCCAAGACGCCACCAGAGCCAGCCCAGTGCCACAAGTGCCACGGCTGCCCCGCGAAACAAAAGTGGCCACAAGTGCCCCGCCTGCCACGCAAACCGACGGTGGACGTCACCAAGTGTCACGCCTGCCACGCAAAACGAAGGTGGATGTCGCCAAGTGCTCCGCCTGCCACGACAAGTGCCGCGGCGTCACCGGCGACCAGGCGCGCCCAAGCCCGCCACTAGAGCCAGCCCATTGCCATAAGTGCCACACCTGCCACGCGAAACGAAGGCGGCTGTCTCCGAGTGCCGCGCCTGCCACGCGAAACGAACGTTTGATGTCGCCAAGTGCCACGCCTGCCACGCAAACTTAGGCGGCGTCAGCAGCGACCAAGCGCGCCCAACTCGCCACCAGCGCAGCCAAGTGCCATAAGTGCCACGCCTGCCACGCGGCAAAGTTGTATGTGTGGGTGACAAAGTTGTATCTGAAAGATGGTGTTTCTGTGAAAGATGTTGTGGGACAAAGTTGTGGATGACAAAGTTGTATGTAAAAGATGGTGTGTGACGAAGTTGTCTGTGAAAGATGTTATGTGACAAAGTTGTGCGTGACATAATTGTCTGTGACAGATGTTGTTGTGTGACAAACTTGTCTGTGAAAGATGTTGTGTGACAAAGTTGTGGGTGACAAAGTTGTGTGTGAAAGACATTGTGTGACAAAGTTGTGGGTGACAAACTTGTCTGTGAAAGTCGTTCTGTGTGTGACAAAGAGTTGGATGGCGGAGAGGGCGGAGAAGGCGGAGGCGGCGGAGGAGGCGGCGGAGGCAGAGGAGGAGGCGGAGCCGGGATACAGAATCAAAAACAAGAACCCCACAGAAAGATGTGAGAAAAAACATCGACGAACACAGACTTCTACAGCAAAATGCCCTCTCCTTTTAAGAAGCTCTACAGCGGACCAGTCTCAGCGATCGCTTGTGTCTACGGCTCAGAGCGCCGTCCAACCGAACCTCCTCTTTTGCCGTTTTTTCTTTTTTGCGTTCTGTTTGCACCCTGTGTTGCTGTCCCCGCAGCCATTCCAGCTCTTGCGATCCCTCCCTTTTTTGCTCCTGCTGTTTTCGCCATGACCAAGAATGGCCGCCTTGCCACTCCATGGTCAACCCGCGCGGCAGCCACTCTCAAAGTCTTGCGCGCCAAGAAACGCAACCTCACGTCCCAGGCCTCAGTTTCAAATTCGCTGTCTTATCCGGTCTTATCCTTCCTATGCCTTCTTTCCTGCAGGAACGCCGCGTGACCCAACTCCTTCGCCTCACAATGGCCAAGAGTTTGAAAGGAACGTGGACGATGGTCGCGCCGACTGTGGAGCCGGCCAAGTTTCTGGTCATGTTTCTGCCCTTCTTTTTCCCAGTTTCTTTTTGTTTTGTCCTTTTTAACATTTTTTTCTTTCTTAGGCTCGTGGCCGAACTGGCCTTCATGCGGACATCGCGCTTACCTCCCAGCCGCTTAACCCGCTGCAAGTACCACGGTGCTCCTTGATCGCAGACTTACTTCACAATTCTTTTTCTTTCGGTTTTGTGTTGAATTCTACACCTGCAAATTGAGGTCATTAACCCATTTTGGGTTTTCCGCAAGACACACGCGCCGCTGACCCTCTACAGGGCCATGCGCGGGTCGTTCCTGCACACACCCACCAAAGCCCACAACACGTTGGCCTTACTGTGTCTGCGGCTGCAACGGGCTTCCCCAGCCAACCGCCACTACGAAGCGAACGTTTGCACTGCTGACCTTTGCCTGTTTGCTTTTTCGTTTTCTGTTTGTCCTCCAAGCTCTCGTCATTGTCTTGCTCATGCGGAGCGTGGCTCTAGGCTGGGACCGTTCCAACTTCTAGTTGTGTGCTTTTGCCCCTGTTCCCTTTTCTTCCAGGCCAATATATTCTCAACAAATGGCCAATCCGACCGAACAAGCTCGTTGCCGAGCTTGCTGCCTTTACCACCGGCGGCCCCGGGACGCGGTTCCTACCTACGCGCGCCTTGGCTGCAATTTTTTCTTTTTCCGCTCCACCCCTCTATATTTTTCTGAGGCCGTGCAGCAAATGGAACACTGCTGCGCTACAACCGCGACACCCAGGCTTATACCCTGGGAGATTTGCCGCTTGGGGCGATATTCAGCTTATATTTTCGTGGGACTCCTTGGATCTAAGTCAAACCTTACTTGCATGACCGTCCTTTCTCAGGTCAAGCTTTGTGGCCACCGGCCTCCACCAAGCTTGCCTCAAAGGCAATGACCTGCGGGCCCCGGATATCGAGCACCTTCTTCGAAACACACCGTTTCGACGAGGGTGGGCCCTGAGCTTGCCACACATCATGGCCACTCTGGCTTTGTGTGGCCGGGCAAACCCTGCAAGCATGGATTTGCCTCGGAATCTCGGGCCGCGGACGGCGACCTGCCTCCGCTTACTTTTTGGCAACGCGTCCGAAGCCCAGCCTCTTAGTTGCATTTAGTTGCTCCTCCATATGTTGCCTGCTTTTTTTTCCCCCTTTTTCCAGTTTTTCGCTCAGGGTCGTGGCCGCAATTCAAGCCGAACAACGCCTCCTCGGCACTCCCGAGGCGTCTCCAGGGGCGTCCCTGCCTCTTTTTTTTCATTTCTTCTTCTTTTGTTTTCAACCACTGCCGCAGGACGGCGTGATGAACACTGCGGAAGTGCGCGGCTGGCTCTGTAAGAGGAATTTACCACAGGAGATGGGACATCCAAGATGGGAAAGATGGGAACTGGCAGGTAGGGAGACGGGAAGAGGAATTTACCACATGACATGGGACTTCCAAGATGGGAACTACCAGGTAGGGAAACGGGAAGAGGAATTTACCACAGGAGATGGGACATCCCTGATGGGAACTGGCAGGTAGGGAGATGGGAAGAGGAACTTACCACAGGAGATGGGACATCCAAGATGGGAACTGGCAGGTAGGGAGACGGGAAGAGGAATTTACCACATGACATGGGGCTTCCAAGATGGGAACTGGCAGGTAGGGAGACGGGAAGAGGAATTTACCACAGGAGATGGGACATCCAAGATGGGAACTGGCAGGTAGGGTCCGTCGGTTGGTCTGTATGTATGTATGTATGTCTGTCTGTCCGTATGTGTGTATGTGTGTATGTCTGTATGTCTGCATGTCTGTACGTATCTACGTATGTACGTAAGTACGTATGTACGTACGTATGTATGTGGGCATGTATGCATGGATGTATATATCTTTGCATTTGCCGAAATTGTGCTGTTTGTTGGTGATGATTTTTCCTTTTCCAATAAGCCTACTGTCCGTTTTCTTTGCCAGTGCCGAGGATCTTGCAGGCACGAAGGGTCTTCCAAGCGATCGATACTGATCATTCGGGCTTTATTTCATTGGAGGCCTGGTGCAATGCCCATTGCAAATCGGGGAGTGTCTCGGGCCTGGAGAGAGATCTTAGTGAATACACACGCGGACACGGAGACACACATGCAAATACTCGCACTAAGGTGCACACACACACAGACATAAAATGTATATGCACACGGACGTGCATACATACATGGCACTGATGTGCATGCTTTCATGCTCAGGCACGTACATACAACACACAGGCATACAGACTTTCAGACGTACATGCGGGCACCAACGCGCATCACAAGCCAATGTTGACACGAGCCAACGAGAAATCAGGCAGGCATCGTCACGCAATCGCGCTAATGCAAATGCACACCTGCAACCACATACATGCACAGATGATTGTACATACGCCTGCACACGTGCACACGTGCACACGTGCAAACGTGCATGCATGCCTGCATGCCTTCATGCCTACATGCCTACACGCCTACATGCCTACATGCATAAATGCATACATGCATACATGCACTCATGCACTCATGCAGTCATGCATTCATGCATACGTGCATTCATGCATTCATGCATTCATGCATTCATGCGTTCATGCATTCATGCATTCATGCATTCATGCATGCACGCATGCATTCATTCATTCGTTCATCCATTCATTCGTTCGTTTGTTCATTCATTCGTTCGTTCCTTTGTTCATTCGTTCATTCATGCATGCATGCATGCGCGCATGCATGCATTCAGTCAGTCAGTGAGAGTCAGTCAGTCAGAGCCAGTCAGCGTCAGCCAGAGTCAGTCAGAGTCAGTCAAAGTCAGTCAGAGTCAGTCAGCGTCAGTCAGAGTCAGTCAGAGCCAGTCAGCGTCGGTCAGAGTCAGAGTCAGTCAGGGTCAGTCATGACTGCAGGGTCAGTCAGAGTCAGCGTCAGTGAGTGTCAGTGGGCGTCAGTGGGTGTCAGTGAGTGTCAGTGAGTGTCAGTGAGTGTCAGTCAGTCTCGGTCAGTCTCGGTCAGTCTCGGTCAGTCTCGGTCAGTTTCAGTCAGTTTCAGTCAGTTTCAGTTTCAGTCTCAGTCTGAGTCTTGGTCTCAGTCTCAGTCTCAGTCTCAGTCTGAGTCTCGGTCTCAGTCTCAGTCTCAGTCTCAGTCTCAGTCTCAGTCAGTCAGTCAGTCGGCCAGCCAGCCAGCCAGCCATTCATTCACTCATTCACTCATTCACTCACTCACTCACTCAGTCAGTCAGTCAATCAGTCAATCAGTCCATCAGTCACAGTCAGTAGTTCAGTCAGTTCAGTCAGTTCGGTCAGTTCAGTCAGTCACAGTCACAGTCACAGCCACAGCCACAGCGACAGTCACAGTGACAGTCACAGTTACAGTCAGTCAGTGAGTCAGTGAGTCAGTCAGTCAGTTGGTCACACATACTTGAATACATAAGTGCGCATCAGGGTTGGAAGGCGTGGGCATGCATATGTCCTTCAGCACAAGTACTAGTCCTCTTGATATTTGGTTCAAGTGCCTTGAACAAGGCAAATTGGTGGGTGGTTTGTTCGACGCATTTTTAACAGGAGATTCGAAGCCAGACGACCACCGCGGCAGCTTGGTTGTTAAGCTGATGTGTTGATGGCCCATGTTCAAACAGACCGGAAACCGTCACATGGCAGCATGTAGCTAACACAAATTTGCATCTTGTGTGATGGCAGGCATTTTCCAATGGAACCCGAAATTTCATAATATACATTTGTTGACAACCGGCAACCGGCAACGGGTACCGGCAACCCGCCAACCGGCAACCACCACGGTTTGTTATGGTCTCTTTGGGGTTGCTTTTGAATTTTACGCTTCGTTTGCGGCTTCTTTATGGTGGGTTTTGGGCTTTATAGGGTTGGCGTAGGCTTTGTTCCCAGTGGTTTGCTCAGGGTCAGCTTGTGGTTTCTTAAGAGTTTGTTTTTGGTAGCTTTTGGCCAGGTCAGTTTTCGATGCAGTTAGGGTTGGTTTAGGGATTATTCTCGGGTGGGTCCAGGCTTTATTTGGGTTTAGTGAAGGGTTGGTTTGGGGTTTCTTGGGGATGTATTTGTTGGCTTCTTCGGTATGTTGAAGGTATGTTTATAATCTTTACTCTTGGCAAGTTTGTGGTTTAGCCTGGAATGGTTTAGGTTTGTTTTCGGGTTGGTTTCAGGTTTGTTTAAAGTTTCATTAGATTGCTGTTCGTATACGTTTCGGGCTTGTTTTGCAGTTATTGTTATTTCGGCTTATTGTATAGAAATGGTTTCGAGATTCTTTCGGGTGGGTTTAGGGTTTGTTGCTGGCTTGGCTTGATTGACTTATTCCGGCTGCGTTTAGGGAGTTTCTTTCGGGTTGGTTTGGGGTTTGTGTAGGGTTGGTTGTAGTGGGGGTACCCTCCTATTTAGGGCTAGTTTAAAGTCTATTGAGGGTTGGCAAACTATTTACATTCGTTTTTGGTGTAGATTTGTGTTTATTTAGGGTTGCCCTACGGTTTATTTACAATTGGTTTGGTTTTTCTTTCGAGTTGATGGCTAGGTGCCCTTTGGGATTGATTTAGGAGATATTTAGGGTTGGTTTAGGGTTTGTTGAGAATTGTCTTTTGGATTTGCTTGTTCAGTTAGGGTTGGTTTAAGGTTCATGTAGGGTTAACGTGTTTGTTTGGAGTTGCTTTCGGGTTGGTTGTAGGGCTGGTTGGTTTAGGATTTGTTTGCAAGCCGCTTGGGTTTGTTTTAGGGCTGTTGGTTTATTGGTTATGTAGGATCGGTTCTAGGGTTTGCTCAGGGTCTATGTAGGATCCGTTCCAGATTTATATATTCAAGGTTAGTTTGAGATGTTTAAGGCTTCTTTTGGATCGGTTTCAAAGTTGTTTTAGGGTTGGTTGAAGGTTTGTTTTAGAGTTGGCTCAAGTTTCTGTATTCTGGGTTGATTAAAGTCTCTGTTTGGGTCGTTTTAAGTTTTAGGGTTTCGTGAGGGTCTGTTTCGGGTTGGCTTGGGGTTGCTTTAGGGTTGCTTTGAAATTATTTGCGCTCAGTATTGAGTTTTACTTTGTGGCAAGCTTGCGACTCCTTTAAACGAATACGTATAGGCATATACGCGTACAGGCGTACAGACATACAGGCGTCTAGGCGTCTAGGCTTGGCCACCGGCCACCGGCCACCGGCGCCGGCAACCCAACCGGCAACCGGCAGCTGGCAACCGGCAACCCGCAACCGGCATCGGCAGCAACCGGCAACCGGCAACCGGCGCCGCAAAAAAAGTATATATTCTTGGAACGCTTGAAAAATAAATCTGCTAGTGCCAGTAGATGTGTGTGCTGTTCCAGCATTCAATGTTCTATTATATAGATTCTGGGAACCCAGCCGTATAAAGACTCAGTGACTCACATGTCTTTGACACATGTCCTACCCTGGTCTCGGCTCAGCAGGTTGTGGAAAACAAAAGCATTTGTGACACTGGTTGTCGAATTGCACATTCTTCATGTTCCCAAAATTTTAGAAATTGATTTTTGTTTTGGTGTGTTTGGAGGGCTCCGCTCGGAGTGCTGGTGACGGCCACCCAAGTACATTAGCAAATTACCAAATTCAAGCGTTTATTGGGTAGTTTTGCTCAAAGGTCATTTCGCCAGATATTTGGCGAGTGGACCACCAGGTCACTGGCCAGTGCAGCTGAGCTGGTGGGATGCTTGGCTGAGGTGGTCTTGGATTTCTTCGAGTCCGTAGATGTGGACCCATCCGAAGCCCAGTACCTCTTGGAGGTGCGCTGTTGAACCCGCTGTTGGTCCGCATATGTCTGCATGCTTCGACATAAAGGCTGAAGACGTAATATGTCGACTGAGTTCTTCGATTTCTTCGGCATTGACGTACTAATATGTTTTCTTTGCTGAAAGTTGGGTCCTGATGATACCCATCAAAATTACTGTGAGGGATTTGTCCCACAATTTCGCGGAAACCGTGTCAACGCGCGCGAAGCATTTGCATAGTACTGAAATGGACGTGACTGGTTTCACGCGCACGCACAGATATGGAATTTAGACTGCTCACCCTCAAGCACCTCCAGAAATGGATGGATCGCGCATTTGATTTTGCGCTAGGGCTAGGGGCTTTGAACCGCGATCAAAGACCAAAGAACATTGTGCTTTCGGGAATGGTCGGGGCCGGAATGGTCGGAATGGTGCCAGAGCACTGCAGGGATTTGTCCGCTCTGCAGAGTTGCTCCACCCCAGTGCCGTAACAACTGCCACTTTGGAACCGGCATTTTTGAACAACAATATAACAACACAACAAAAACCAAACAATTCAACTCAAATCGACATAGGCGTTTTAGTTGTGTTGATGTTTTGTTCTGTTATTACATAATATTACGTGTGTTGGGGGATGACCCGGAGGTACTGGACATGGATGGAAGCGGAACAATTAACTTCGACGAGTTCCTTCATGGTACGCTGAGGCCATTTGCAACAGGGCCTTCTGACCCCGGGATGTGGTGTAAGGAAATAGTAATAAGAGTAATAATAATAACAATAATATATATATATATGAATATATATATATTCATATATATATATATTTAGTGTATATATATATTTAGTGTATATAGATATATAGTATACATATAGTATATATACTGCATATATATATATATACATATGTATATAAATATAAATAAAGAAATATATATATATAAATATCTGCGTATATTTAATGAGTTTATCAGGTGGTTGTCCTGGGTCGAACCAGGGGTAGCTGCTAGTAGCTGTGCAAAACGAGATGACCTCCATGGCCTGTTGGATGTAATGCTGACCTTTCTCGGGATCCATGCGCGCCCTGCTCGGTATTTTGGAATTGTGCCAGATACGAAGAATCGCATTTTATCAAATCACACACAAATATTACAAGGTATATATCTATCTATCTATCTGTCTGTCTGTCTGTCTGTCTGTTTGTCTATCTATCTATCTGACTGTCTGTTTGTCTGTCTATCTATCGATCTATCGATCGATCGATCTATCGATCGATCTATCTATGGATCGATCTATCTATCGATCTTTGTACGTATGTATCTATCTATCTATCTGTCTATCTGTCTATCTATCTATCTATCTATCTAAGATATCTAAGATATCTATCTATCTATCTATCTACCTATCTATCTACCTATCTATCTATCTATCTGTCTGTCTGTCTGTTTGTCTATCTATCTATCTGACTGTCTGTTTGTCTGTCTATCTATCGATCTATCGATCGATCGATCTATCGATCTATCTATCTACGGATCGATCTATCGATCTATCTATCTATCGATCTATCTATCTACCTACCTATCTATCTATCTATCGATCTTTCTACCTATGTATCTATCTATCTATCTGTCTATCTGTCTATCTATCTATCTACCTATCTATCTATCTATCTATGAATCTATCTATCTATCTATCTATCTAAGATATCTAAGATATCTATCTATCTATCTATCTACCTATCTATCTACCTATCTATCTATCTATCTGTCTGTCTGTCTGTCTGTCTGTCTGTTTGTCTATCTATCTATCTGACTGTCTGTTTGTCTGTCTATCTATCGATCTATCGATCGATCGATCGATCTATCGATCTATCTATCTATCTATCTATCTATCGTTCTATCGTTCTATCGTTCTATCGTTCTATCGTTCTATCGTTCTATCGTTCTATCGTTCTATCGTTCTATCGTTCTATCGTTCTATCGTTCTATCGTTCTATCGTTCTATCGTTCGATCGTTCGTTCGATCGTCTCGATCGTTCGTTTCTATCGTTCTATCGTTCTATCGTTCTATCGTTCTATCGTTCTATCGTTCTATCGTTCTATCGTTCTATCGTTCTATCGTTCTATCGTTCGATCGTTCGATCGTTCGATCGTTCTATCGTTCTATCATTCTATCGTTCTATCGTTCTATCGTTCTATCTGTCTGTCTGTCTGTCTGTCTGTTTATCTATCTATCTATCGATCTATCGATCTATCTCTCTATCGATCTATCGATCTATCGATCGATCTATCGATCTATCGATCTATCGATCTATCTATCGATCTATCGATCTATCTATCGATCTATCTATCGATCTATCGATCGATCGATCTATCCATCTATCTATCTATCTATCTATCTGTCTATCTGCGCATAAACAGGAATTTGATTTCACCCCTCCATCAACCTCCGGTCTAACTTGGGCATGTTTTGTCCATTGGCCATCCAAGAGGCTTGCCCTTCCTTTGCCACTATGCATTTTGAATGGTCAGACATCTAAGTCTGCATGTTACATATTTGTTATATACAGGCAAATTCGCAGATATACCGTGGTCTGTAGAGGCATAAAAGTGTAACGTGCATACGTAAATCAAAGGACCGGATAACCCCACAAGTCAACTTCTTCCAGTAATGAGCCAGAAACGTTGTAGCGGGGACGGGGAAGGAAGGAAAGACAAAGGAGGAGGTGGAGGAAAGATGGTGTGTGACAAAGTTGTGTGTGTGAAAGATGGTGTGGTGAAAGATGGTGTGTGACAAAGATGGTGTGGTGAAAGATGGTGTGTGAAAGATGGTCTGTGACGGTGTGTGAAAGATGGTGTGTGTCAAAGATGTGGTGTCAAAGATGGTGTGTGAAAAAGGGGGTTTTGACAAAGTGGTGTGACAAAGATGGTGTGTGAAAGATGGTGTGTGAAAGATGGTGTGTGACAAAGTGGTGTGTCAAAGATGGTGTGTGACAAAGTTGTGTGTAAAAGATGGTGTGAGAACGAGCCCAGAACTCCTCCAGGAGGCTCTGTGTGCTGCGCCTGCCACACGCCAGCCAGCCCTCCGCCGGGAGGCTCTGCGTGCTGCGCCTGCCACACGAAAGGCAGCCGCGGCCCAGCGGCGACCACGCGCGCCGCACCTCCTCCAGGAGGCTCTGTGTACTGCACCTGCCACACGACGCAGCTCCTCCAGGAGGCTCTGTGTACTGCGCCTGCCACACGAGTGGTGTGATGAGTGAGATGTGATAAGTGGTGCAGTGATGGGTGGTGTGTGATGAGTGAAACGACAGGCAGCCGCGGGCCAGCAGCGGCCACGCGCGCCGCAGCTTGTCCAGGAAGCTCTGTGTATTGCGCCTGCCACACGAAAGGCAGCCGTAGGCCAGGAGGCTCTGTGTACTGCGCCTGCCACACGCGTGGTGTGATGAGTGAGATGTGAGAAGTGGTGTAGTGATGAGTGGGGCAGCCGCTGGCCAGGAGGCTCTGTGTACTGCGCCTGCCACACGCGTGGTGTGATGAGTGAGATGTGAGAAGTGGTGTAGTGATTTGTCCAGGAAGCTCTGTGTACTGCGCCTGCCACACGAAAGGCAGCCAGGAAGCTCTGTGCACTGTGCCTGCCACACGAAAGGCAGCCGCGGGCCAGCGGCGGCCACGCGCGCCGCATCTCCTCCAGGAGGCTCTGTGTACTGCGCCTGCCACGAGACAGGCAGCCGCGGGCCAGCGGCGGCCACGCGCGCCGCAGCTCTTCCAGGAGGCTCTGTGTACTGCGCCTGCCACACGAAAGGCAGCCGCAGGCCAGCGGCGGTCACGCGCGCCGCAGCTCCTCCAGGAGGCTCTGTGTAAGGTGTGAGAAGCGGAGCGGTGATGAGTTGTGATGAGAAGTGGAGCTGTGATGAGTGAGGTGTGAGAAGTGGAGCGGTGATGAGTTGTGATGTGATAAGTGGTTGGAAGTTGCATGATTTGCATTTGGTGTGATGAGTTGTGGGATGAAGCGGCGCGGCGGTGCGCCTGCCACACGCGTGGTGTGATGAGTGAGATGTGAGAAGTGGTGTAGTGATTGATGAGTGGTGTGATGAGTGAGATGTGTTAAGTGGTGCAGTGATGAGTGGTGTGTGATGAGTGACACGAAAGGCAGCCGCGGGCCAGCGGCGGCCACGCGCGCCGCAGCTTGTCCAGGAAGCTCTGTGTACTGCGCCTGCCAGACGAAAGGCAGCCAGGAAGCTCTGTGTACTGCGCCCGCCACACGAAAGGCAGCCGCGGGCCAGCGGCGGCCACGCGCGCCGCAGCTCCTCCAGGAGGCTCTGTGTACTGCGCCTGCCACGAGACAGGCAGCCGCGGGCCAGCGGCGGCCACGCGCGCCGCAGCTCTTCCAGGAGGCTCTGTGTACTGCGCCTGCGACACGAAAGGCAGCCGCGGGCCAGCGGCGGCCACACGTGCCGCAGCTCCTCCAGGAGGCTCTGTGTACTGCGCGTGCGACACGAAAGGCAGCCGCAGGCCAGCGGCGGTCACGCGCGCCGCAGCTCCTCCAGGAGGCTCTGTGTAAGGTGTGAGAAGCGGAGCGGTGATGAGTTGTGATGAGAAGTGGAGCTGTGATGAGTGAGGTGTGAGAAGTGGAGCGGTGATGAGTTGTGATGTGATAAGTGGTTGGAAGTTGCATGATTTGCATTTGGTGTGATGAGTTGTGGGATGAAGCGGCGCGGCGGTGCGGCGGTGCGCCTGCCACACGCGTGGTGTGATGAGTGAGATGTGAGAAGTGGTGTAGTGATTGATGAGTGGTGTGATGAGTGAGATGTGTTAAGTGGTGCAGTGATGAGTGGTGTGTGATGAGTGACACGAAAGGCAGCCGCGGGCCAGCGGCGGCCACGCGCGCCGCAGCTTGTCCAGGAAGCTCTGTGTACTGCGCCTGCCAGACGAAAGGCAGCCAGGAAGCTCTGTGTACTGCGCCCGCCACACGAAAGGCAGCCGCGGGCCAGCGGCGGCCACGCGCGCCGCAGCTCCTCCAGGAGGCTCTGTGTACTGCGCCTGCCACGAGACAGGCAGCCGCGGGCCAGCGGCGGCCACGCGCGCCGCAGCTCTTCCAGGAGGCTCTGTGTACTGCGCCTGCGACACGAAAGGCAGCCGCGGGCCAGCGGCGGCCACACGCGCCGCAGCTCCTCCAGGAGGCTCTGTGTACTGCGCGTGCCACGCGAAAGGCAGCCGCGGCCCCAGCGGAAGGTGAGAAGTGGAGTAGTGACAATGGTAAGTGAGATGTGATGTGAGAGGTGGAGCTGTGATAAGTTCTGAGGCGGGCGGAGGCGGAGGCGGAGGAGGAGGCGGGAACACGGGCAAAAAACAAGAACCCCACACAGTGATGTATGTATGCATGTATGCATGTATGCATGTAATGCATGTAATGCATGTAATGCATGTAATGCATGTAATGCATGTAATGTATGTAATGTATGTAATGTATGTATGTAATGTAATGTAATGTAACGTAATGTAATGATGTATGTATGTATGTATGTATGCATGTATGCATGTATGCATGTATGCATGTATGCATGTATGCATGTAATGCATGTAATGCATGTATGAATGTAATGCATGTATGCATGTATGCATGTATGCATGTATGCATGTAATGCATGTAATGCATGTAATGCATGTAATGCATGTAATGTATGTAATGTATGTATGGTAATGTATGGTAATGTAATGTAATGTAATGTAATGTATGTTATGTTATGTTATGTAGTGTAATGTTATGTAGTGTAATGTATGTATGTAATGTATGTAATGTATGTATTGTATGTATTGTATGTATTGTATGTATTGTATGTATTGTATGTATTGTATGTATTGTATGTATTGTATGTATTGTATGTATTGTATGTATTGTATGTATTGTAAGTATGTAATGTAATGTAATGTAGTGTAGTGTAATGTAATGGTATGTTAAGTTGTGTTATGTTATGTTTTGTTATGTATGTATGTACGCATGTATGGATGTATGTATGTATGTATGTATCTAAATCTATAAATAAGTATATATATATATGTATATCGCTAGGCATGAAAAAATGATTAACCAGAAGTAGAGATACAACTACACATGCAAGGATGCTGGCTCCCACTGGATATTGATACTACTGTAATTCTCACCCATGGACATATACTGAGAACGGCGAGCGATTAGTTGAGAGTACAAACAGTGCATCTAGGCTGTATTGTTTTATGGCTATCCCTGAGCATGCCTGTGGCAAGAAATCCAGGTAGCCATGGATATAGATGTAATCATATGATATGAATATAAATACTGTATAAAGTACGTAGGTATAAACGTCAACGTAGATGGACGCATATTTGATATATGTACACATGTATACCTACACATTTCCACGCTTGTTTGTATACACTTTGTATGGGCACACATGATTTTTAATCACACCAAAGTAAGTGTAAACACACATATATACATTTATATATATATATATGTAGGATCCCTCATATATGTATGTGCGTATATTTATATAAAAATATGAATGATATCCGCACACATGATAAATGCAGCCAAACTTTCAAAACTTGAACATGTAAATGCTTAAAAGAGGAAACACCAATGCGCAAAGGGCTCACGGTTCAACCCCAACTTGCCCATCTACCAAGTCCTTTCAAATCCTGCCAGGTTGAACAGTTCTGCCAGAGCTGCAGATCTGTTGCTGGTGGCCAGAGAGATGAAGAGGTGCCCTGAGTGTACCGGGTTATTGGACCACATTGGACCGAGAAATCATACGGGTCAAACCAGGGGACGGAGATGGGACGGAGATGGGACGGAGATGGGACGCAGATATTGACCCACTAGGAACTGCCAGCTGAAGCTCCGACCAGAGGTTTTTCAAGCACGCCATTTCGGAGTTGCAACTGCTCAAGCACCACCTGGGCATCGCCTGAGGCGGAGGCGTGTAGCATGGATCATGTATGTTGCTGTTCCGGGTCATGGCAGATTGCAAAGCCAATGGAAGACAAACATGTACCTCCCCACATTCTGGTGATGGGAAAGATGTCAGATGAACGGATGATCTTAGATTAAGAAAGACAGTGCACGGAGTAATGCATCTAAAAGAAGGTTGTATCCCACATGAATGACCCACATGACTGATCTTGGTCGTACGACACTGCGGCAGGCCCATTTTTGCAATATCGCAACCGGTGCGAATTTGGTGCCATGGCAGCCTGGGAGTGTCAAGAGGACACAGGAGATAACCAGAAGTGAAGCGGCTACAACCACCAAGACATGATCCAGTGATGTGTTTTACACAGAATTTTGGAGGTACAATTAACAAATAACGAAGAGGACAAAACATGACGTCTGAAAAACCATCATGGAAATACAACCCCCCACACATGCGGATAGCGAGCCAGCAGTCACTGATTTGCACTGATTTGTAGCTTGTAACGTTACTAGCAGTTGTTGCCATGTCATTGAGTAGGGAACAAACGGCAAATGTATCGTCAGGTAGATGGTCAATTTTGGCAGAGTTTGCGGGATATGAGCGAGAGGCTAAAGCTAATTGTAAAATAAATTGTTTGGAAACGGCGTGGTGGTTCTTGGGTTAGCCACGGCCCATCACGAAGAAACAAAAACTGGATGCAGGTACGTGGAGTTGATCAGACTCCATATCCTAGTCAACTGCATGGAGCTTCGTTAGCGACAGCCATGCAGCGACCCTGTCGCCCCCTGCTGAAAACTACTAGAACCCTGAAGTTTTACATCTGTACAGATGTGCCACACGCACACACATCCAGCATAGCCCCGGTAATCCATGTAGAAGAAGCTTCTAGATTGGTTTGACATGTAGTTCTTTCCGAGTTGCATGGGGATAAATATACAAATGTGTATATATATATTATATCTCCATATATATATATTATATCTATAAATATATATGGGCATAAATAAATAGAAATAAAATAAATACAAATATTTAAAAAAAAATATGAATATAATTAAAAATATAAATAACAATGAATAAATTAAATAAATATAAAAATAAAAAATAAATGAATAAATAAATATATATATATATATGCATGCATGTGCATCAAATGTATTTAATACTATATATTTATGTCTCTTTTAGCGCTTTAAAATTTTTAGGTGATAGCTTCAACCGACGGCTCCAGGTGTCGTTCGCCATGGAGTCGCTGCCAAAGGCAATCGACTAGGTAGAAAAGAAGCCCCACAGTGACCGCCACGGCCATTGGGATCGGAATCCGTTCGGATCCAGTAAGCATAGCATGGCTGGGCTGCAACCACCAACGGCTACGGTGATATGATGTGATATATCCAGCTGAACGAGAATTGTTAGCAAACATTACAGTAGTGGGAACAGTGCCTTGATAGACAACATTAGACAACCAATAGATGCCATTGGCAGGCAACTGGCCTCGATGTATGCGGGTTACACCATCGAACTTCCTAGTTTTTGTGCAGCTCTGCAATGGCCGAAGAAGATCCTGCCTTCATGATACGGAAAATGGGAGGTACACAGGCATCACAAGTGCCCCGTCAAGTAGCTCTAATCTTGAGAGCGTGCGGTCACGGAAATGGGCCACAGGAGGATGTGACATTCGCCGCGCATGAGGAACTGTTCCACAAGTGTTCCGAGGATATGCCATTCTTGTTGTTTGTTGATGACACTTTCCTGACAAGTTGTTTTATGCCCAATCTTTTAGCATGTAGCCATTGCACCAACTTGTAGCTGTGACTGTGTCTGACTGTGTCTTGTTTCCTGACGAGACTCCCCAAGACTTCCCAGCAAAGCTTGGCTGCCGTGAAACCATGGCGCACATCGATGTCGTGGCGGACGACCGAGCTGCGCTGAAACGTGTGGCAGCACGCGGGACCGAAACTCGACGATGAATGAAAGTCGCACCTGCAAGACGGTTGGTGTGATAGAAAGAGATGATGATCAAATAATTTAAATCAGCAAAGATCAGCAAGGTAGACTGTTTGCTGGTCACATTTGCGTCCAAATATCATACCACCCCATCTTTAGAAAGAATACAGGTTACATAATGTTATATTATATAGGCATTTTGAGAAGAGATAAGAGTGATTATGCGTGACAGCCCTTCGCCCGAGTGAGTAGAACCAACCGGCTCTAGTTTGTGGTTGGAGGTGTTGTATGACCCAGTATCAGCTTTGCTTTCATCCGGTCCAACCTACGATCATGGCACACCTTTCCCTACCCAATTCCCAAACCTTTCCCTACAGAGTGATGGCTACCTGCCGTCAGGTTGGCTGGAACGAAGGCCCCGGCTTTGTCGTAAGTCGCCGTGGTGCTAAATTGCAGCGATTGGTGAAGGATCAGCTGGAGGAGACTATACTGCTAGGCCTGCGGGGCCCAGTGAGGGGAGTGGGACTGGTGGGTTATGGTGGACTGGTGGACACCAGGGGAACAGACAGACTCAGGTGACTTTAAGTGCTTTGGGGTGAGTTTGCCCCAATGAGACACTGTAAACAGATTAGGGTTTGACAGCCATCCTTCGAGAAGGCAGGTTGTGGTTATTTACCTATACCAATGATTTCGATTGGGTTCAAGCTCTTTTCCTGGAGGGGCATGCGTAGCTTGTTTCAGTTATCGCAGTTTGTACTTCGCATTGAAATCTGGGGCATTCCATCCACTATGACTTTAGGGCAGCGTGAGTGAGCACATGGCTCACAGTGAGGGGACCTGCCAAATGCTCGATTGGGTCCCGTAAATTTGGTTTTGCCGACTCACCCGTCCTTGCTGTACCTGGTTTTTGGTTTTTGTTTTTTTGCTGATGCAGTTTTCTGCCAGAGTGCCACAAATTTACCGGTCGATTGCTAGGCTCAATGCGTTCGCAGGCCCCCTTTTTTTTGTTAAACAAATCACACCGATTCATGTTTTTTTTCCTCTTCTCTCCTTAGGAAATATGATGCCACGCTACCAAGCAACTCAATTGCTCAGAGCTTACTGTAAAAAGATGAAAAGATGTAAAACTTCATATTCCAAACTAATTCCCAACTCCCAAGCAACCATTGCATTCCATCTCATGGGGGAATGGGGGAGACGCCATCAGACATCTGCACCTAGGGCACCTAGGGCACTCTGTCCAACTCAAATCACTCGAAGAACTCATCCGTTGCAGTTGGAGCACCGAGGCGCAGCGTGTTCCGAAGTCTTCAGTGGTCCGCGGCTGGCGAAGGTGCTGCGCCCAGCGCTAGAGCATCAGCGCAGCTCAGTTCACAGTGACGTGAGTGTGACGTTGAAACCATTTTCAATATTGTAATAAACATATTTTAAATATTATTTTGAATATTATTTGAAAGTATGTTATATGGAGCTACATTACGATCATTATATGCAGATATCGCAATGCCGCGTGCATGTAAACAATTGATGTGTGGTCCCTCAATCCTAGGCTGGCTATATAACTGGTTTGGTGTTTCAACTGATCAACGTTTGCACCGTTTGAAAGAGCAACATGCACAGGATTGTTGTCCTCAAAGAAAGCTAGTTGATGCGTGTCATGCTCCGAACATCATCTAAATCTGAAACCCTCGCCAGTGTAGGAGCTTCCTTGGTCCGAAAAAGAACATGTCATAAATCAGGCACCTAATTAATCAAACATGATCACCCATGATCAACCTTAGTACCACAGCCATCCACCGCTTTCAGAACGTTTCGCGGTACTATCACAACCTGAGGAAAGGCAATTGAGGCCATGGAGAAGGATGAGCCGTGGGAGCCGCTGTCCATCCACACCTCGGCAGGCCCGGAACAGCCCTGAGATGTCAAAGTTTTTGGACATCTGAAATGGTCCACATTTGTGAATGCACCGGTACAAGCCGATTCGTTCCAAAAGAGTGAGAATCTCAGAGCTTGCGAGAAACGACGTGGTGACTTGTAGCCTGGTGTATTGAGTCTCATAACATATATATATATATATATTTATACACACGGCATTTCCATCTTGAATATTTCTGTTCGCCTCAATTCTATTCCATTCTATCCTGTCCAATCAATCCAAGCCAGTATCAAATTACCTTATCTAATCTGGCCTAATCTTATCCAACTTTATCCTGTGTTACCTCTCCTTTCATTTCCTTTCCTTTCCTTTTCTTACCTTCTTTCACCTTCTTCTCTAATCCTATCTATTCACCTATCATATATCCACCTATCCATCTTTCGATCCCTCAACCGATCAAATCTGTCTCGCAATCTCTCTAATCTATACTATAATCTATTCAACATCTACACACACCTACTAACATCTAGAAAAGACCTATCTGATCTATCAATTCAAAACCATTTGATCTATCCAACCCACCTCATCTACCTCATCTATCTAATCTACCTAATCGACCTAACCGATCTGTATAATCTATCTAATCTGTTTGATCTAAACTATCTAATCTATTTGACATATTTGATATACCTAGTCTATTTGATCTAATCTATCTAACCTATTTAATCTATACAATCTATCGAATCCAATCTAATCCTATCCAATCCTTTCCTGCCCTATCCTATCTATTTAAATAGTACGTGTAGTATAGAAACCTCATCCCGGCCAGCACCAATTCATCATTGCAGCATATTACAACTCTACAAATACATCCATACAATGCATAGACTACGCAATGGTTGCACACAACGTGTACTCATTTTACTCACCTGAAACATTTCTCGACGGAACACTTTGATTTCAGCACAGCGCAACTGGGCAGAGTCTTGGCCTCGTCATCAGCCGGAAAAACTCCAAGAATCCATGGTCCCATGGTCCTGCGACATCCTGCGACATCCTGCGACAGCATCAGCAAACATCACCACTGCTTCACAACAACAAACGCACACAAACGCAACAAAAATTGACCACCGTGGTCACATTTATCAGCGTTCAGAATCTGCAGCATTGCAGCAATCCACAAGACGCAAAAACTGCGGTTTGAATACTGGGAATCGCCAGATTGCACCTCGTCCTGCCCAACAATTTTCATTGACCAAAGAATGCTTGTGCATCCTCAACTCAGCTCATGAGTTGCTGATTATTTGAACGCCTTTGCTCCCGATGAACGTATGATGAACGTGAATAACAGATTAAAGCGGATCTCAAGAGGAAGAATCCCGGATCTTTGTCCAGTCACGGCATGTCGCGGCCATGAAGCACGGACAGGGAATCTTCTCTTCTCTTGGCTTGCAAAATGAGAAGTCTCCAAAGTAATTACAGATGTTCGAGGTACAAGCGCACACGAACAGATAAGGAGAGGTGAAGTGGCAGGAACGTTGTGAAAAGTCAATTTTGAAGCGCGCGCGAATGGATTGGGAGTGATTAAGTCGTGAAAGTACAGATTTATTTTTAAGGCATGAGTCACAAGTGCGCACGAACGGATTGGAGGAAATAATGTGGTGAAAGTATAGATTATCTAGTCAATAATTGCATTCATCGATCTACAGTATTTGTTTGTCTGTTTCAATTTATATTTCTATGCAGCTATCTATCTGAATCTATCTATATATTATCGAGATCATTTTGCTCAATAAAGCTGATGCTTCTGTGCATCACCGAGCTCGTTGGTGAGGCTCGGAATGGCCCAGTTCCACCATGTTCCACCCGTCAGGCCTCCCAGCGGCACTGGAAAAGTTTCTGAACTGCTTGGAGAAGCACCTGCCACAAGCACCTGAAGCACCTGAAGCACCTGAAGCACCTGGTGATGCCAACGATTGGTTTGTGAACTTGCAGTTGGATGCTACTCCAAAGATGGAGACAGGGGACACCGGTGACACCGGTGACACCCTGAAGCCCTGCGGCCGGTATCGAAATTCTTTCTCACTTTTTGGGGCAAGCTTGCAGCTGTTTTGAATAGCCATTGAGTCCGTTGGTTGGCTCTAAGCGTTTTGACTTGCGGCATGTACCACTCGTCATGATTTTCTAGCATCTAAACATTTCTAAACCATGTATCACTAGCCGCGGGCAGCCCTGAGCTCAGGAAGGGGCCACTGCAGTCTGGGCTGGGGTGGAAGCAGTGGCACATCTGCGGCAAGCGCTGAAGCCTGAGGAGCAGAAGGAGAAAAACGGTGCCGGGCGCTACTTCCTGTGCCATCTCCTGTTTACATTCTCAGAATATGCCAAAATATGCCAAACACATACATGCAATACATGCAGACCAGGCACCAAATCGTTCTTTTGGATTGTTTGATGGATTGCTAGAAATGGATGGATTGAATTGATTCACGAAAGGTAGCATCAGCCACCTTCGGGCGATCATGATTTTTTTTGATCACATCTTTTTTTTAATGTCCACCGCCTCTCAAACTATACTTCTTGTCGATTTATTAACGACGAACGTGAAATAGTTAAGGAAAATTATGCTGGCTATTCGATCTGGAAGAAGCTTGTTTCACAATCAACCGATACACATATTATGATGTGTCCTATCATGTCCTATCGATTTTAATCTTGTATATGATGCTCCAAACATCAGCCCAAGCCTCTATTCACATGTCTATTTCATTTCCTCTTCACCAGAAGCACCATGAAGCACCCAGATTTGCTGACTATCGGATCTATTTTCTTGGTGACCTGGAGATTCCACGGGTATTTCCATGCAGCAAAATCGCTGCAACATTGACACATCATACCGCACAGCCATGTGGCATAGAGCCAAAAGATGCTGTGGGCCCCGTTACCTTCTTCCATCATTCATGACCCCTCTACCTTTCGTCCAGTCTCCTCAAGTTTGATGGTTTCATTTTTCTTATTTTCTTTGTTCTTCGTTCTTACTTAGTACTTTCTTTCTTTCCCTGCCTGCTCTCTTGATTGCAGAGTCCAATTGACTCACAGATTTGTTTATTCATTTTCTCTATTCATCGAATCACTTTGATTTGCTTGTGTCTTGTTCATGGTGTGTTTGTTTGTTGGTGCTCTGATTTAGTGGTTAATTCAGTCACTTGCCGTACTTGTTGTTTATATTTGCCACTGACCAAATTACGCCGGGACATTGCCATCTTCAATGCGCGGCAGGAATGTCTGTTGGGCGTGGCGCAAGCTTCGTACCACGGAGCCAAAACAACAGCCCTGGGGCAGCCCGCGCTTCCCAGATGGCCCGGTGCTCCGCGGACCACTGGGCAGGAGAGCGGTTTATCGTGGGAACCGATGGAATCGGTCATATGTCTCATTTCAGTGGTTTCAGTCGGTTTCAGTCCAGATAACCACATTGTTGGATCCAGATTTCAGATGTGTTGAGCTTTGTGGCACTGCATTTTTTGGGTCTGGGTATCTAACCGTCCGACACTTTGGATTGTAAAATTGTAATGCTGGATACATATGAATACATATGAATACATATGATACATATATTGGCCTGTAAGGAACTCCAAGTCTCAATGGCACCCTTGCTTCAGCTGTGACCAAGATGCAGGTGGCATATCCAGTCCCAGACTCAGATGATCCCAAGGCATCCGAGGTGGAATAGATGGGGACCATGGGGGGACCGCAGCCTCACTTCGCCAGAGATGGAAATAGATTTGACAATTTTGGGCCCTGTTGGATTAGTGGCTTAAATATCTTAATGTGGTTTGGATTCATTTGGCCTTTCCCTTGTTCTTCACACTTTAGCTCGGAAAAACTTCTTTTTAGTGGGTTGAATAATAGCGGTCGTCAGCTTTGTCACCCATTGGAGCCCTCAAAATCAATGGCTTGATTGGCCAATTTGGAAGCTGGACGCCCAGATGAAACCAGATAGTTGACATTTGCTTAATGCAGAATTTTGGAACATGTGGGATGGGGCAACTCTGGTGTAGGAGGCGGGCTTTTTTCCGGCTTACAACAATCTGAATAGAGCCATACGCGAATTAAAGGTATACCATGATGCACTACTTTTCGTTGGGTGGTGATAGAAGGAATATGAAGGGATGATGTCGCTGACTCCAGGGGAATTGTTTCCTTCAAAAGTGAATAAACTTCAAAACATTGGTGCAGAAGTTGGACAGCAAACTCGTAGCCAGACTTTCTCAAGGATCCGTGATCAAATGGGAGTTTTCCCAAACACCCGGGGCTCCAGACATATCATTTCTTTGGGTAGAAGAAAGGCTGGAATCGAGCTTGGTTTCACCATTGGAATTCGAGTTGCATCGATTCTCATTGCATCGATATCCTTTCTTTCAGCGGATTCTTGGAACGGTTGCCAGTGTTGCCAGTGCTGCCAGTGGACAGGAGTATTTGGAAAAGTTCAGCACCTTCCTCCGGGACAACCCACAGGTAGCGACGGTTTTTGGGACAACTGACAACAGGCTGGTAGATTATATATAGATGATAGATTGGAGAGATTAGATATACTAGATGGACTGGATAGATCGATAAGATTGACTGGATCGATTGGATCGATTAGACCAATTAGATGGATGAGATAGATCAGATAGATTGGATAGATTAGTCCGATTAGATGGATTAGATGGATTAGATGGATTAGATGGATTTGGATGGAGTAGATGAACATATTGATAAGATAAGACAGAATTAGATTAGATTAGATAGATCAGAGAAATTAGAATAGACTACACTAGACTAGAAAGATAGAATAGAATACAGTAGCTTGGTTGTGATTAGAATAGACAGATAGGTAGATAGATAGATCGATGGATAGAAAGAAAGATAGAAATCTACATACTGTAGATAGGTAGACACGCAGACACGCAGACAGAACAGCAGATAGGTAGATGGACGGATAGATCAGATAAGACAAGAGTAGACTGGAATAGAACGCACAGATATGCACAGATATGCACAGATGTTTCATCGAATCGCAGTGGATTGGATGGGATCGATGAAACAGAGAAACTAACAGTTGGACGCTTGGATCTGGTCATGGCCAGGTGGGCATCTTCATTTTCGAACCCCAGTGGGGCTCCAGTCGTTTGGGGCGGACCTGGCCGCCAGCATTGTTGCTTGCGGAGAGAACGCCTGAAAATAGATGTGATAACTCCAAAGGCGAAAGCCAGCAAAAACATATCCGTATCATTCAAAATTCAATCTCTACTTGATCCTGTTCGAGTACTTCGATCAGTATACAGCACTCCTACATAAACATAAAGACATTGGTTTGCTCGAAACTATGCTGCTCCCAGATCCAATGACTTACCACCATTTTCCAAAATGAAGATGGCAAATTTGACGCATACCATTTCTATACTTATACAAAACCCACACCTGCATACATATACAATATACATCAATATATAGTAGCATACCTATCTATCATTTAATATTTATGCCGTTTATGCCTATACTTTTTGTGTATATATACTTAAGTTATGTACATATAGATAATGCAATATATATATATATGTATAAACACGCGTACATATGTATATATACATTACACACTACATGTATAGATCTGTCTTCGATGTGCTGTGTCCTAAGGCTTCGAGAGGTGATCTCTCGCTGTCATGCGGCCTCTCGCTTTGTGCTTTGCGATGAGGTCATGTGTGGCTTAGGCGAGGACAGGTAGAAAACTTGGTGCAAGGAGCAAATCTTTGGTCAGAAATTGGTGTCTTTCATATTAGCGAATTAAGTTTGGAAGATTGATTTTTGAGTAAATTGTGGATTTTAAAGGTGCACATTGCATGGGTCTTGGTTTCCCACTTCTGTGAAGCTACCTCTTGACTGAATACATTTGTCGATTGCACAAGGATGCAGATGACTAGATGACTTTGTTTCAGTGGTTGGGAGGGGGGCAGGACGACAACAAAAATACACAGATTGATACGGGACAGAGGCCAGACAACCTCATACACTCAATGAAAGAATCCTCGTTTTTGAAAGCAATGGGAACGGTCAGAACATGACTTTGTGTTGACATTCAGAAACAAAGACAATTCTGATGGAATCATCTCAACATGTTGATATGATCTGTATATTTTTTTGTGTGTATCCATACCTGGATTTAATTTGGCGTAAGTAGGTGGAACGAAGGTGCGGGCGGGTTTGCTTTTGCACCCTTGCGGACCATCCGATGAACAACATCCATCACCATCACCAGTAGGCAATGCCATTGCCAAGAGCAGAATGTTCACATCCCAAAACTAGGCCGGACAATTTCCAGGTGCCTTCAGCCGCCAGGCCGGCATGGACATGGCTCGCTGTTCTTGAGTGCCGCATGGAATCTGAGACCCGATGCGGTGACCTTTGGCAAATCCATGGCATCAGGCCGGGGAGCCATTGGATTTGGCCGTAGCCATTGCAGCCACTACCAGAGCTGATACTTTTTTGAAACATTTTGAGACGATCAGTGGTCACCACACATTTTTAATCATTTTTACATCTTTTCTAGCGTTTGTCAATTTGTTGGTTTTCAATTTGTCAATTTCTTGACATCCCTGTTTTCGACTTCGGCGCTTTCTGTACAAATTTTTCAAAATGATTATCGCATGCCATCGCATGTTATCGCCAAGAATTATACCTCTAGGTGACGCCGCATGTAGCGGGGCGGACCAACAACAATTTTGACAACCAGGAACCAAGAGACAACACATGCGAGGGCGAACAAAATTTTGACAACAAACAATCGCAGAATGTAAACGAGGGCGAACAAAAACAAACAATTCCGATTCCGATATATGTGTGTCATTTTGTTGCGATCGAACGCAACCGGCAGCATGCGTTGAATTGCAGAGATTCGTACAGTGTGTTCGACATACTGTCTGATAGCATCAAAACACGACAGCAGCAGACCTTGCCATCAGGCACAACACATGCTCAATATTTTAAAACATGATCTATTTTCTATCCGCTTTAGAACGTTTTCCAAACCCTCGGCACTTGGACACAACGGATCTGGATCGCTTTATGATGGCAGCTTTGAGCATGTTCGAGCAACCTGCCTAATTAAAAACAATGTTCGAAACCCTGACCAAATCCAACCTGAATATATTTGTTCAATCAACTTTGGCCCAAAGTCTGTGAACAGAGGCAGTGTGGGCAGCGCGCAAAATCTAGTGACCCGCCCCAGGGTTTCAGCAGGCAAGACAAGATCCCAGAGAGGCAAACCGTTTTGAGCAAATTTGAGACCAAATGCTCAACAAACATGGCGTTCTTGGCAAATGTGACACAACATCCTTTGACAAACGCGCCTTGTCCAACGAGAGTCAGACGAGATCTGTGTACAGCGGCAGTGTTTACAGCACGTGTGATACGACGACACTTTCCCAAAAAAGTGTTCCCAGCGTGCACTACTTAATCCGCTAACAGTCAGAAATTTGACCTTGTAGCGCATGATACCAGACTGTTTCAACCACGTGTTGCTGGGTGGCACACATTGTCGTGACACGTGCATTGTCTCCACCTCCGTAGCACAATACCTGCAAAAGGCACAGCGTTGCAAAAAGGAATCAGCTGACCGACGGCTACAAAGCACAAGGCATGCCAGATCACTACAACATGTTACATGACGTTACATGCACATGAAAATGTCGCCTTCTACACGTCTTTGTTTCATAGGCCAAAAGTAACATTCAATAGTAAAATATTCATTGCTACAAAATAAGATTTGGTCTTAGAGTCTCATTAAAGACTCTGAAACAAATTTTGCTACAAAATCCTGGTGCTTGCAGCTGCAATTTGTTGGTGTTTCTTAGTGGCAGTTCGTGGTTGAAAGCTAACCTGACGTAGCCATTGCCATTTGTTGGATTCGGCTTATGGGCAGGTTCCTTTTCAGTGTTTGTTTGGTGAGCGTTGTTAGTCTAACTGTTAGTCTTGGGGGCTGCTGGTGGGTTCTGAATGGAGAGCGGTCAAGAACGCCAGAAACGCCCAATATGAGTGGCCCGAGTGACCCAATCCTTCGTTTGTAATGCTCGATTTACTCCCTTTCATAGTGGAGTGCATAGTTTTGACGTCCTGTTTCCGATAGCTGCCGTACCCTCCCCCTTTCAAGAAACTTCATTTACAATTTTTTTTGATGCTTGATGGTTCTATGATAGTCAAAGAGTAGCCATTGCCATTGCTGTGTGCATTTTGGGTTAGTTCCGCTTCTTTCTCCATGTTTTCTTTGCTGAATCGTGGAACTTGTGTAGAGAAGGTTGTCTGAAAAGCGGCGAATTTTCCACTGGGAAACTCGAAACCACACCATATGGCCATATAAACATAGCAAACTGCCTGAAACATAGCACCGTGGCACCGTGCGGCTGTGTTATGATTTCCGGATTTTGTGCAGCGCCGTGGGAAATTTCCACTGGAACGCGGAGTCTTCGTTTCATCCTTCCTTCACGAACAAGACGGCTCTGCAAGAAAGGTGTATGTTTAATTCTTTGGAAGGCTTTTGCGGGCCTGTTTTGCAGCAATACTTTGCCACTACAAATAATTTTTCATGCTAGTGACCAGCAAGGCTCTGAATCATAAACATATATAATACATTTGATTAAACTTTCTGAATAAGATCTTCAACCCTACTTTTCAATCTTCCAAAGTCCGCAAAAATCGTAAATTTGAAGGGGATCAATCATTGTAGGGGGAGGAATTTGCGACAAATCATACCGAATTTGAGTTCGACCTTGCAACACCCCAACTTACACTACGGTAGATTGTGTCATTTACTTTTAATATACAATCATTATTGGAATCTTTGAACATCATTCAACATCATTGTGAAAAGGTTTGTTGGCAGGTGCGTCCTGACATCAATTTTACAACCAATCATTGCATCTCGATGACGTTGATCCAACTTCAATATTTTTTTGGGATGCCACATGATGCCGCACAACCGCCTCACTAGTTGTTTGAACATATGGGCCCAAAATCCATCAAAATCCAGTGGACAGGTGCAACATTTGCAGACACTCTGTTGGTACTTGCGCCAAAACAGTGTTTCACGTGGGTGCACGCCAAATCCGCTGACAGGTGCAGCATTTGTAGACACTCCGTTGGTACTTTGTGCCAACACAGTGTTTCATGTGGGTGTGCGCCAAATTCGCTGACAGGTGCCGTGTTTCACGTGGGTGTACGCCAAGTCCGCTTTGCAGACGCTCCATTGGTACTTGCGCCAGGACAGTGTTTCACGATGATGCACGCGGAATCCGCTGACAAGTGCAACGTTTGCAGAGACAACAGTGGCACTCGCGCCAAAACGGTAGGTGTTTCACATAGGTTTCAGCCAAATCCGCTGACAGGTGCAGCATTTGTAGAAGCTTCGTTGGCACTTGTGCCAACACAGTGTTTCACGTGAGTGTACGCCAAATCCGGTGACAGTTGCACTTGCAGATTTTGCAGACACTCCATTGGTACTTGCGCCAAGGTAGTGTGTCATGTGAGTGTACGCCAAATTCGCTGACAGGTGCAGCATTTGTAGAAGCTTCGTTGGCACTTGTGCCAACACAGTGTTTCATCTGGGTGTGCGCCAAATCCGCTGACAGGTGCAGCATTTGCAGACGCTCCGTTGGTACGTTCGCCAAGGCAGTGTTTTCACATGAGTGTACGCCAAATCCGCTGACAAGTGCAGCATTTGCAGACACTCCATTGGTACTTGGGTCAGAACATTGTTTTACGTGGGTGTACGCCAAATCCGCTGACAGGTGCAGCATTTGCAGACACCCGTTGATTCTTGCGCCAAAACAGTGTTTCACGTGAGTGCGCGCCAAATCGGCTGACAGGTGCAGCATTTGCGGACACTGCGGTGGTACTTGCGCCACGACAATGTTTCACGTGGGTGTACGCCAAATCCGCTGGCAAGTGCAACATTTGCAGACACTCCGTTTCTACTTTTGCGAATGCGGTGTCATGTTGGTGCGCGCCAAATCTTGTGAACACGCCCAGCATTTCCAGACACTCCGTTGGCACTTGCGCTACGACGGTTTTTCACGTAGGGTTGCGCCAAATCCGCTAACAGGTGCAGCCTTTGCATCCAGTCCGTTGTGCGCCAAATCCGCTGACAGGTGCGTCATTTGCGGACGCTCCGTGGGTGCTTGCGCGAAGACGGTGTTTCATGTGCGTGTGCGCCAAATCCGCTTACAGGTGGAGCATTTGCAGACAGTCCGTTGGTACTTGTGCCAAGGCAGTGTTTCACGTAAGTGTGCGCCAAATCCGCTGAGACGTGCAGTATTTGCAGACACTCCATTGGTACTTGCGCCAACGCAGTGTGTCACGTGAGTGTATGCCAAATCCGCTGACACGTGCAGCATTTGCAGACACTCCGTTGGTACTTGCACCGAGGCACTGTTACGTGAGTGTATGCCATGTACACGAAATCCGTTGACAGGTGCGGCATTTGCAGAAGCTACGTTGGCACTGCCGCCAAGACAGTGTTTCACAATGATGCATACCGAATCCGCTGACGAGTGCAGCATTTGCAGAGACAACAGTGGTACTTGCGCCAAGACAGCCAGTGTTTCATGTAAGTGTACGCCAAATCCGCTGACGGGTGCAGCATTTGCAGGCCCTCCGTTCGTGTTTGCGCCGAGACAGTGTTTCACGTGAGTGTACGCCAAATCCGGTGACAGTTGCAGCACTTGCAGATTTTGCAGACACTCCATTGGTACTTGCGCCAAGGAAGTGTTTTCACATGAGTGTACGCCAAATCCGCTGACAAGTGCAGCATTTGCAGACGCTCCATTGGTATTTGGGTGAATATTGTTTTACGTGGGTGTACGCCAAATCCGCTGACAGATGCAGCATTTGCAGACGCTCCGTGGGTACTTGCGCCAAGGAAGTGTTTTCACATGAGTGTACGCCAAATCCGCTGACAAGTGCAGCATTTGCAGACGCTCCATTGGTATTTGGGTGAATATTGTTTTACGTGGGTGTACGCCAAATCCGCTGACAGATGCAGCATTTGCAGACGCTCCGTGGGTACTTGCGCCAAGGCAGTGTTTCACGTGAGTGTATGCCAAATGCGTTGACAGGTGCAGCATTTGCAGATGTCCGTTGGCACGTGCCTAGGCAAAGTGTTTCACGTCGGTGTACACCAGATCTGTCGACAAGTGAGGCATTTGACGGCGCTTCGTTGGCTTTTGCCCCAACACAATGTTTCACGTAGGTGTACGCCAAATCCGTTGACAGGGACAGCAGGTGCAGCACTTGCAGACGCTCCGTTTGCACTTGCGCGAAGACAGTGTCTCACGTAGGTGTACGCCGAACCCGATAACAGGTGCGGCATTTGCAGATGTTCCGCTGTTACTTCCACCAATATAACGTTTCATATAGATGTGACATGATGTGACCAAATCCGCTGACAGGTGCCGCACACCGTTGCGCCAACACAGTGTTTTCATGTAGGTGCACGTCAAATCCGCTAACAAAAGCGGCATTTGCAGACGCTCCGTTGGTGCCCGCGTGTTTCAGGAAGGTCCGAGGTGCGCGGTATATGTGCGAATCAGTGCAGCATTTGCAGACACTCCGTTGGTACCTGCGCAAACACAGTTTCACGCTGGTGTACGCCAAAGTCGACCACAGATGCAGCATGTGCCGACGCTCCATTAGTACTCCCAACTGCCCAAGTCGTGGCGAAATCCCAAAAATCTTTGAAATTAGCTTGGGGGAAGGCTTTTGTGGAAGTCGTGGCGATGCGGCGTTTAGCTTGTGTTTAGGGTAGGTTGCTGTTTTACTATCTCATGTAGACCTAAAGTGGCGAAGCGGCGTTTAGGTAGTGTTTGGGGTAGGGCGTTGTTTTACTGTTAGCATAGTGCTTTAATCTTGCTAGTTGCGTTCTCATTGTGTTTGGGATGGTTGCTGTTGGGTTCTGCAGCTACTGGGGTCTTGCTGTTGCTGCGGCTGCTGGTTCGACGGCTGCTGCTGTCGCTGTTTCCGGGTACTTCTACACAACTCTGGGATTATCATCTCTACACTGCCATGGCGGTGTGCTGGGATTCTGCAAATTGTCATTGTTTCGCTGCCAGTGATCCAAGGAAGGGCAGTTTTGCGGCTTGCGGGCCAAAGTCCATGTGTGTAGATGCGGGGTTTTTTCCGTACCTCGTTTTGACCTCGTTTTGGACCTCGTTTTTTTCCTTTATCAGAACCCACCCTGCAGTATACAAACTAGGAAAAGGGCCTGCTTCGCGTTTTTGTTTGTGGGCGTCAACAGTACCCACGAAAAAAGGCCCGTTGGAAACCGGCGTTCCGATGGGATTCGATCAAAAACAAATAGAACCATGATAGTTTGGTCAAGGCTTGTTAAAGCTAGCGTTTCCAATGGGGAAAGGGGTTTTGCAAGGTCTGTGCCGGGACAGGGGTCGTGGCGAGCGTTTTGATTGGGAATAGCTGTCAAACGCAAACGTTGCGAGGACTTTGGCGTATGGGTGTACCTGCGCCACCAAATCTTTTCACGAATGGTACACCAAATCCATTGACAAGTGTGGCGTTTGCAGACACTGCGCGAACTTGCGCCAACACAGCGTTTCACGTAGGTGTATCGCAAATCTGCTAATAACAGGTGCAGCACTTGCAGACCCTCCGTTGGTATCTGCACCAACACAGTGTTTCACGTAGGTGTACGGCAAAATTGCTGGCAGCTGCGGCATTTGCAGACATTCCGTGGGTATCTGCAGCAACGCAGTGTTTCACGCCGGTGTACGCCAAATGTGCGGCATTCGTAGACATTCCGCTGCCGCTTGCGCCAACGCAGTGTTTCACGCAAAACCTGACATTTTTTTGGCATGCTTTAAAAAAAACCAAAAAATGCCAAAAAAATGTCAGGTTTTGGGTGGACCTTGAGGGCTGCAATTTTATAGTCCCTAAAAATTGCCTTCGATCAGGGGCTCCAATTCTATGGGGGGGTGCTCCCCAAAAGGATCCCACAAGGCAAAGGCATGCAAAGGCACTGTAGAAGCAGCCTCAGCAGCCTCAGCAGCTTGAGCTGCAGAAACAGCAGCCTACGTCTTTCAATGATTACAATAGTTGGTTTGAAATGGTTTGACTTTTGTGCCTTCGATTGATGACCCCAAAACTTCAGTCTACAGAATTGGGGCATTATTCAACTGAGATAAAATTGGGAACCACATAATCGAAGGAAAATAGAGGGCCCCCAAAATTCGACTTGGGACACTAAATTTTAATAAAAAACAACCTATGATCAAGCCATTTTGGATGGCCCTAATTTTATAGAGGCCAATTTGGAGCTAATACCCTGTACAAGTTTAACCTGGGCACTGCAATTTTGTAGTATTTTTGGGTTTGATGACATTGATGGGTTACTAGCAGGTTGTGATTTTATAGGGCTGATTAATATGTGTCTGTCAAGATTTTAATTTTGTAGAGGGTCCCAAAAGGGCATTTTTAAGGATAGGCCTGGGCCCCCTATAAAATTGGAAAACCTAGGTTAAACCCGTGTATTGGCAAGGGGATTAGTGGAGTGTAGTCTAGTTGTGTAGTTGTAGTTATAGTGTTGTGGAGTGTAGTATAGTGTAATATATTGTAGTGTAATGGAATGTATAGTGTAGTGTAGTGAAGCGAAACGACATTTGAACCTCCAAAAATGAACCGATTCCCTGGAATTTTTAATATATATTATTTTGATTCGAAATGTATTTCGCGCCACAACGACGTATACTTTTTCGACATTTTAACTTCCAAAAATAATTTATACCTGGTATATTTTACATATTTTTACTTCGAAATGTACTTCGTACCACAACGGCGTCTTATTTGGCTAGCTGGCTCCGCATCCGCTATTTTAACGAGCCTATTTTTCGACCCTCCGCCCCTTTAAATTATTGGAAAAAAAAAATCGTAATTTTCCTACCTTTTTACGCATCTATATCTTCTTTCTTCTTACTTTTTCTCTTCTGATTTTCTTTCTTCTAATCTTTCTCTTTTTTGCCCTGCTCTACTTTTTATCTATTTATATTGTTGAAAATTTATCCCCGTGGTAATTTCCACTCTAGAATTAGGTAATTTGTATATAATTTAAACAACATTCTTAATTTATTGGAATTTAAAAATTAAAATTAAACTATTTATTTTATTCTTGGGGGATTGGACTGAATATTTTATTAACAAGGGAATTCTTAATAATTTTTAATATATTAAAATTATA